CAACATTGATATCCATGCTTTGAAAAATATTTTGAAAATAATTCCTAGACATATATTTTTAAGTAACTAAGTTATCCATCCAAATTCTATCATCATTTTGCAAAGATAAAATTTTTCCTCTAGTTTTTTTAATATTAGCAACTAAATGAAAATATTTAGTATTACAGTCCGCGTTTTTTTCTCTAATCAAGATCTGATTTTTGAGCATAAATAATTCTCTCAATTTTATAAAGATGATTTAATTCAAAAGGTAAATCTTTTTTTAAATTAATAAGAAAGCAGAATACTTTTTAGATAGAGAAATTTGGATCCCATCAATCCTAGCCACCAATCTTCTTTTTTTATTAGTGATGTTTCCAAATATGTCATGATTCCAACCTTTAATATTAGCAAGGAACTCGGTTCTACCTTTTAGAAAATCAAAATCATGCAAATCCCAATTTTTGACAAAAAAAGGCAGAGAAATCACAATGTTCTAACTAAGCAGCTTTACAGCTAAAAGGATAAGGATCACCTTTACGATTATCAAACAAAGTAATTAAAATATGGTAATGGTCAGAATCAGTACGAGCGAGATGCGATACCTGAGTATTGGGGTAGGTATTCAGTTAGCTCGGGTTTCCAAATGCCCTATCCAGACGTTCTTCGATAAGGTCGAGGCCTTCCCTCGCATTATGCCAAGTAAAAGGGTTTTCCAGAGAACCCAAGATCAACCATGCATGCAGCCTTCGCAAGCTTATTAGGGTTTGCACACTGACTTTTCCTAAATCTAAGGCCACCAGACTTCTCAGAAGGATTAGTGAATTTGTTTAGGTCACCCAAAAACAACCACGGGGTGTTATCAGGAGAAAGAGATGCTTGCAAATCATTCCAATGTTTGTGACGTTGAGTAGGAGTAGAGGGTGCTTGAATAACAGTTAAAAGAACCTCCTTACTATTAGGAGAAAATTTAAACAGAGCATGGAAATAATTTTTGGTTTACCCCCCAACATAATCCACCAATTTGACATTTCTATTATACATTAACCAAATTCCTCCTCAAAGACCATTTGGACTGATAAATTCGAAAGCATCAAACCCAAGCAATTTAGCAACTTTTTCAGCATGAAAACCATTACTTATAGTTTCTAAAATTATGAAATTACTAGGCTTATGAGCAACAATTACCTCCCAAGCATGAGGAATGAACTTGTTCCTTGTAGAAACCCTTATATTCGAAAGAGAAATCATCATGTTAAGATCTGGATATTCAGGAATTGGGTTTCCATTAGAGAACAAAATATCAAATTTGTCCCACTCCTTCCACTGCATTGCACGCTCCATCTTGACTATGTTGTGCATTTTCAATGGTAGTACCATTGAATCCAACTCCCTGATCGTATTCTTTATTCCCAATGATTCACCTCTATTTGTAACCCCACTATCCCTTTTCGGATCATGAAAATTTTCATACGGTGTTCGGGGTTTTCTAGGTCTTCCTTGCTGTTTCCCAATGTGAGATTGATTATTTGAGGGTTGGAGGGTGGAGGAACCAGGTCGTGTTCCGGGTAACTTGGCCACGGTACATGTTGTAGATACCATGGTTGAAGGTCTTGTTAAGTGGGCTGGGTCGATTTCGATGGGTTGAGGTGAGGGAATTGCGAATTCATCATAGTGGTAATCTGTAACAGAGTGTTGTACATCAATTCTATCTTGGTCGGAGTCGGAGGTGACTCTATCGATGACCATAGCAATGGAGTTGATGGATACGGAGGAGTTGAAACAATTTTGGATATTTTTGCTTGAGAGAGAGTCGGCGTGAATGGAAATTGGGTTGGAGAGGGGATTGTGGGTGGTGGTGGATGGTAGAGGTAGAAGGGTGATGACGGCATTCTCATGGAGATTGGCTGTGTTGGAGTAATTGGGAGGTCGTGGTGTATTAGAAGGATTTGCATGTATCTTCATTAAAGGAGTCGAGTTACTGGTTGCCAAATGGCAATCGAGGTTTTTGGATGAAGCAATGGAAGATGAAGGGGAAGCGTGTGGGGATAGTAAAATGGGAAAAATATTTTCCGAATTTCCTTGCTTGTTTTGAGTAATTGCTCATCATTGCTTATTTTGAGTAATCAATTGTTTAATTCAATATTTTCCTTTAAGTTACTAACGAGTGTATTTTGTTATTAGAAAGAGATACGAGGCATCGAATTAAGTAAGTACTCTTTTGATATAAAAGGCATGCTAAGTTTATTTAAATTCCTAGTATCATATTAGGATGTTATTTATTGCTTTCAAGTATCATGTTTAGGCTGCTTCCTATTTCTAGTATCATGTTAGGGATAAAGCTTTGATCTTTATGTTTAGTGACATGCTAGGATTTAATATTAATCATGTTAATATCATGCCTAGGGTCTTGCTAATATTATTATGCTTTATTGATATTATTGATGATAATTATTTATTGTTTCTTGATATGTTATTATTGTTATTTCTTGATCACGCCCTCTCTTGTAGGTTTAAAGGGAATTTTTACTTGTAATCATGCTTAATAAGATAATTTATATTCTTGTTTACGCTAATATGACTATAATTCAAGTGATCACCAATAATAGTTTTGTTTGTGCATTAATATAAAATTAACATAGATTAAACTGGTTTAGGATTAATATATTGAATGTATGTTAGTAAAAAAGAGCACATGAATATGAGAAGAATCAAGTAGAGGCCTTATTAGGGCAGGTTCAATCTTTTTTAGGTGGGATTTGTACCTTCATCCGCGAATATCCTTTCATGGTTCCATACGACTATGGAGTTACAGATCTCATAGATTGTGAAGGGGTGTAAACCTTCACCATGTGAACGGTTTACAAGTTCCTAAAACTTGTTGGCGACTCTTTTAGTATAGCTTCCTTTCCTTCAGACGCCACCATATTTAATTGTATGATCACAGTAGGGCTCAAGTGTGGTTTGCTTGAAATTATTCCCTACATGCCTGATCTTGGAACATCTTCCGTAGCTCAGAAAAGATCTCAAAAGCTGTCTCTTTCTCAAAGAAAGTCTTTTGAAGGTCGGGAGACATTGTGGCCAACACGATGCATTTGACATCACGATTGGCAATTTACCATCGGTTTAGGGTAGCCTGAGTCACCTTCTCATTGGGAGACTCTGGCATTTCCTCATCAAGGACATATTCCCTTTTCTCTTGCATGAGAACTATACGCAAGTTCCTTAGCCAACAAAGAAAATTTGGCCCACTTAACTTCTCCTTGTCAAGAATTGAGTGTAACGAGAATTGGTTGTTTGAATTATTTGCAGACATTGTTTAAAATTGAAAGAATTTGAACTGAAAAACCATTAATAATAATTAAATAAGATTAAATCATGCTCATTAATCAAACTTATTTAAACGTCTTATTATGATGAGTGTCATTTATGGCACTCATAGGGTAGTCTTTTACGATGTTTTCACCCTATTTTTCGTTGTTTTCTTTTATCATTTTGGTCTTTTCCTATTTAGTTTCTCTATTTCTTCTTTCTTTGAGTTTTACTTTCCTTTATGTGGTTTTCTTCGTGTTTCCCTTTTATATGGCTCTTTTTCTCTTCTATTTTATCTCTTTGGTTACTTTTGTAGGTGCTTATGGAGTTTGCTTTGCAAAGGGATGAAGAAGAGCAAAAAGGGCTAAGCAAAGAATAAGCAAGCTCCTTGGACAGGGCTTGGAGAAGGCACTTAGAGGGCGTACAACATTTGCCAAATACCGCGGGAACATGTCTTGAGGGTCACGGGCGCAGATAAAGTGCAACAAATTGAGGATTTTTGACAGGAACTCTCCATGCCCTGGCCACGGTCTAGCCGCGGGCGCGGAGCTTCTGGAGAGACCGCTTATTTTGGAGAGACCACAACCCCCGTGTGTATACACTTGGGAGCAGGGCATCAGCCGGCCCTTAGTCGCGCGCGTAGGGTTCTTCGCCGCGGGGGCGGGCAAAAATTTCCGCGAGCGCGGGTGTTGCCTAGATTACCCGCGGAGTTAGTTATGGGTTTCATACCCATTTCTTCGCGCCCGCGTGATGTTCTCGGAGACGGCGCGACAGATCAGTTTTTCTTCTTTGTCTATAAATACTCTTGTAATTCCCTTTGAAGGCTAACTTTTAGATAATCTTTCATTTTCTTAGTTTTTAGAGAGAGAAACTAGAGAGAAGTTAGAGAGAAAGTAGAGATTAAAATTCTTGGATTTTGATTTGTATTACAACATTGCTTCAATCAAGTTTGGATTTCTTCTTCATATCAATGAAAGTTTGTGAGATTTCTTTCCTTTGAATTTACTTCAATTGCAATTTTCTTTAATGATTGCAAGAGTGATAATGAATTCTTCTGAATTGTTAATGAGGATAATATTTTGCACTGAAGTATGAAATTATTATTTGGATCTTTATACCACAGTATTGTGATTATATTTGTGCTATTACTACGAAGTATTGTTGTAGCTACCATAACTTGATACTGTGATTGACCTCCAAACTTATGTGTTTCTGAAATTTTTGAACATATTTTTACTCAGACAAAGGCAACCTTCATATAGTGAATCCATAATGTGAAATATAAAGAGAGGAAGCCATATTGTTTCTCTTTGGTATTGGGTTACTTGATAATCATACACTCCTACGACTCCTTTCCTGGTGTTACAAGAGCTTCCCACGATTTAGTATGCTATCTATTTTGGTTATTTGAATTTTTAAATGTGTTTTGCAATATTGGTTGTGGTTCATTTTAAATTTATAGTTTAGTGAGCTATTAGATAAGTGCGTCAATCTCTTTGTGGCTCTGTGCCTTAATATAGGCCATGCACCATGATTTCTTACTGTACTCTCAAGACCATGGTATTTATATTTAATTAGATGAATTTATTATATACTATTAACTAATATGTATGTATTTTACATTGTTTTGTAGTATTTTAAACAAGTTCCTCATACATATTCTCAAAAAATGATTGACGAGCTTAAGGAAAGGTGGGTTTCTTATGTTACCGGATACCATCAACCAAATGATGACGACGATGATTTATGTGAATTGTAGATCAATATGGTATTGGTATTGTAGGGTTTTAGGTACGCAAAGCGTAATTTCATGAAGCTCATTCATACGCACCTAAACAGGATCTCATGCATATACAAATAAAGGATCACATAATAGTTTAGAATTAACCTTTAATGCGTGAATTCCCAAGCTTTCTTCTACCTTCTTGCGGAGATTACAGCCCCAATTGTTGCTCCTCTAATTTTGGTCCACAAGTGTAGATCGAACCTCCACCAATGCTAGTTGGACGGGAGAGATTAATCTCCTCTTCTATGGAGAACTTCTAACCGATTGTAGAGAGAGAGGAAGGGAAAAATATTACGTTGTTTCTATTATGAAAGATGAACGTCAGTTTATTTTTCCCCAAGCCCTTTATTATATATAATCTTATTATCTAATTAGGGCAAGAATTATTCCTATCTTACTCCTTATGTCCAGTCATTCACTAAGCCCTACTTATGGACTCGGTATTCATGTTCGACCTAACACTATAACGTGTGACCTCAAAGGATCCATTTAGTTGACATTAGTTTAACCCAATTATCAATATTGGTCTCTAGCAAGACGTAAAGACGACCCAACTAAACGAACTTATTATCTCCATAATACGATCCATATTATATTAGTAATTGTACGATAGTCGAGGACACATTTCCTTCAATCTCCCACTTGTCTGAGACAAGCGTGCAATCTTTAAATTCCTTAAGTCTCTTATTATCCAATTTGATAGTATCATTACATCTCTATTTCATCCATACTAGTACACAAATTGTTTCTTGAAATCCGAGTTCGAAGTGCTAAACAAATGATTATCTAGTAATCCATTTGAGCACGGCCATGCATTTACAATCCTTACTCTTCAAGAGGCCAAGACACCCATCCTATCTAACATAGGAGGACCTTTTCAATCTTGTGGCAACCAAAACTCCCATTCAACTTTTAGTATAACCCGAATATTGCCTTTATATCCCCCTTTTACGGCATGGCATTTGATAATATCAAAGTTACACTAATCATTGAGCTAAGTAGTGCTTCACTCATTTCTCAGGAATCCACTAACATAATAGCGAAATTTTTCAAAACTTCTAAGTAGGTCAGTTAGATCTGTATCAACCATACAAATCCATATAATTGACTGAACATCTCTATGTTCCCATAGCCAATGAAACTGCGCTATCAATCAATCTTATATGGTAATCCTTTTCAATAAGTCGTTTATGTCCAGTTTAACGAATTGGATTAGGAACTTAAATATTCCATGAATTCAGTTCACTTATGGGGTTTCATTCATCAAATCACGCATTTGACAAAACCATTGAAATTCATAAAATATCTTGGACATTTATTTAATACTAAACCATGATTAAATAAGTATGAAACTTTGTTTCACATTAAACATAGGGAGAACACAACTGATAGTTTTGCGACTGTGTCCAATACACAATCAAAGCCATCTAATATGTTCAATTTCTATTGAACCTAATATGACTTTCATATTTAGGCTTCTGAAATAGTTTAGTTAACAAATTTTGAGACATTCTCATCCATATGAAATGTTACCTTTTCTTTTATGATATTTTATGTCCATATACTTAGATGTTGCCTTTTGTTCTTCTCTAAGTACTTCAGGAAACTCTTAATTCTATAATTTCCAATATCACATATCAAAATTCGGTTGAAAATTGCATACATGCATCTAATGAGTACAATGCGTAGCCTTTATGACGAATCCTTTGAAAATGCACAAGGAATGTCACTCATTCGCTAAATCTCATCAGTCTTTGCTTTGCACTGAGTCTTAATAAGCAATGTGCTATGCCGCATGGGAGTGAAACCTCTCTTGGAGTTTTTCATGCTTGAACCTATAGAGAACCTCATCTATATAAGTTTCTCAATTAAGTTCAATCCTCTTTCAAGACCAATCTCAATAAATCTTGATTCCCAAGATGTACTCATTTAACCCTTCAAGGTCTTTTAAACAATAACAAATCATTATCCATTACTTGACCTATTCAAGTATGGAAACATCGTATCTTGAAAGAAGTATGTCATCTAAATACAAAACCAAGAAGACTACATAGCTCCCACTAAACTTCTTGTATGTACAAGCTTCTTCATTTATAAGACTATCAACTAATTTGATTAACTTAGTAAATCAAAGATTTTACTCCAAGATGCTTACTTCAATCCACTAATGGACTTATGAAACATACATGCATTTCTAGGACTTCCTGGTCCTTCAAAACGTTAATGTGTGTATCACATACACATTCTCTTTCATGAACAATTTCAAGAAAGTGTTTTGAACTCCATCAACCATATCACATAGAGTTGAAATCACTAGAAGAGTCTGAATAGATATAAGCAATATTAGCAACGAAAGATTTCACCATAGTCAATACTATGAATTCTTTGAATCCTTTAGTGACTAATAAATGCTTAGAAAACATTATTCCTTCCTTGTATGCTCTTTGCATTCAATGGTTCTCTCCCAATTCATGCAAATCAACCAAGTGTCTCACACTCAATTTTCCAGATATGGAAACCATTTCAGATTTTCATTGTACTAATCTATTTTGTGACTCGTCAAAGCTTACATTCAAAAAGAAATATTTTAGAATTTCTTAACCATCGAACTTATTTCTCTTGCTTAGATTTACTAGACTTTGTGGGTTTATGCGCAACAAGTGAAAACTTATTTTCAATGAAGAACAACATAAGAAGGGTATACATGGAATGTGGCCCTTGACACATGGTTACGTATCCCATTACATTAATGAGACCACGTGTTGTTGTTTTTAACATGGTGTGAATCATGCTCATTTGTTGGTTCTCTCGAACACCTTCGAGACTTATACTCCCACTTGCTAGCTCTTTTAGCATAGGGCAAGCTAGTTTGTTGCTCTTCTCGGTTTTCGAGAATTACTCCCACTTGCCTTTTAGAAATGACATATTTTTCAAAAGGCACCAATTTGAGCAACAAACAATTTATCCTCAAAACATTTTGTGGTTGTAATACCCTTGTACTAAGATTTAGAATTCAACATTGCACTAAACAGTTTAATACCATTGTGATTTGACGCAGTCCTAATTAGTGTAAAAAGCTCATTTTAAAAGTGTATCCTTAGAACTATTGTTTGGAAAATAGGTACAGTTCATCATTAATTATGCTATATCTTATATAGTTTAATTCCTCCATTTGAAAAAAAATTTCTCTTAGTGGATTAGGTTGTAAACTAATTTTACAATCCTTGGGATGATCATCAAGTTTTGTGTTAAATGCTCATCACTACTATCACATCGTAAATGCTTTCGAATTCTTGCCAAGTTAACAATTTGACTCAAAAGTAAACTGTTACGATCATATCGCAATGTTTGTCAAGTCTCTTTTATTCTTCTTTTGAACCTTATTGAACTCCTTAAAAAATTTTCAGATTCATGCTTCATGTAAGCATGTGTGATCATATTCAATTGAAGTGTCCATGTTCATCTCTAGCCTGTGAACCTTAGGTTTCTTAATTACATCGTTATGTATTCAACCATGGGTTCACGTCACCTTTTCTCCAAAAGATAAACTTTTTAATCATCAAACTACAATAAGATTTGCATGCATCAAGGGATTCATAATCTTATGATGTTTAAAGTCCATCCCTTCGGAGCTTCCGTATGCAATTCTATTCGTATTTTGATCAAATTGACATTTCTAGAAGTGGTTCATACATAGAAATGGTTCATCTATATCTATCATATAGAACTCTTTAACCTATTTAGCATTTCAAAACATCCCTTGATTCAACTAAGCACAAAATAACATTTGTTCGATGCTTTGAATCTTTGACATTCACCGATAACTGCAATGGAATGATGTTTTTATTATAGCAAGAATATAATAATGATTATTTATGTCAATGCTAAACTATATATAGTTAAGTGAAATGTAAAGTCATACATGTAAAACAACATTTGTTTCTCACATTGTAGATTTACTTTTCCCTTATCCAAGTTTCAATTCTTTAGCTCAACCTCATTCTTCAATAAGAGAGTTAATCTTGACATCACATGTCAAATAAGTAGATTTTTGCTAAATCAATTTCTATAACTACTTGATGTGGAACATTTCCATTCTTTACCTTCAAACTGTCTTTATGGGGTAGTTTTCAATCTCTTGGAGCTAGTCCTCAATTTAAACATTTGCTATTCATAATAGCACTTGACAGTTTAGTAGCCTTGTGATTAAGAATTGACAAATTATTGGTCTTTTCTTTATCCTTTGGCTTTTATTGTAGTCCCCATCCTTCTTAACCCTTTCTCATTTGAACTATCTAGAACATTTCTTTCAAGCTCAAAATGATACTATGCTCAACTACTTTAAGCATCTTACATAATTTTGCCAAAACCATTCAACACAATTCATGTTAGTTGGAGTTTAATTTGGTATTTAACACCGTATGCAATAAGTGAAGAATGATGTCACTTAAATTAGTCAACATTTGACAGTATGAAAATCCAAGTCATTCACCATGTTCAATCATATTGATCAAGGAAAAATACTAGGTTCTTAATGTGAGTCGCACTCATGTTGTCTTTAGAGGTCTTGTACCTCTCCATCGAGTCCAATCACTTGAAACGTTTTCAAAATGAGTCAATGGTGGAGCCATTCGATTATTCAATCTTTTTGAGTTCTTGGAGGCTATCATTAGACATGTGACATTATTAAATAGGTTTTTAACACTCCTTTTAGCCTTTAAAACCCTTTTAGCAAAGCATGGATAATCGTCTACGGATACTCTTTTAGTTTTGAGAACGTTTCACAATATTTCTTTCAATCGAGGAGATAACATATATAACACGAAAATTAATGAAGACATAATATTTGCAAATAAATATAAAATTCAACTATGCTTATCAAAGTAGTTTATGATTCAAACATCCTTTGAAATCATTTTAGCCACTTTACACTATATTCATTTTGTGTCCCTATTATGAATAACGTGATTCCAAGATCATATCCCTATGTAGCATTAAGCGGACGGAGGCCCTTCCTTCAAGTTACATTTTCAAGGTAAGTAAACTCCTTTACTAATTACAACTTCTTGTAATTCTTGGTTGGATAGATAACATCACATGTTCAACTATCCCCTTACTTCAAAATCCAAAACGCTTCTGATGATTTTGTTGAGGGTGACCAAATTAATTGTGAAAAATTCGCAATTTTACCTTACCTCCCAAGATTAATAATAATACCCTGCGGAGGCATGACCCATTACTATTAATCAAGGGTTTAATAAGTACATTATATTTGGAAAAGCGAGCCTCAATATTTGTGGGACTTAAGTTTATTATGTTGTTATAAATTAGTGAACTCTAGCGCATTTGATAACAACATTCAATAACCTTATAAACATTTTAAGAATAATAATAAAATGAATAAAATAAAATATGAGCTAGTATGGCCCCTAATCCTAAGAACTAAGCTTGATTAGGTACCTCCTTGAACTTTTCATGGATCTCCGTCCATCTTCATCACGGGCCTTCTCATCTTGGGCTCTTCTTTGGATTAATCAAGTATTTATATAATTAACATAATTCATAATTAAACTAAATTACAAAAATACTTAACGATACGCAGATCGTATTTAAATTACAAAAATACACCACGATACACATATCGTATATTCTAATTTAAACTATGGGCCATACAAGTCATTTATAGCAATATTAATATATCGTATATAACATACAATTGCCACATAATAAATCACATAGCATACTTTTCCTAAACTAAAATATCATATATTTTTAACTGAGGCAACGTATATTTCAATATATCACATATTTTATGACGAGATTAGACAATATCTCCATATTATTCATTACCATAATTAAAATATCATATATTTAAATTAGGAATCAGATGAAATCAAATAAATATATAATATAAGAAAATAAATCACATTTATATTCTAGGATTATCTTAACAAATTTAAAATTCCATCCTAATCACTAGTTAACCATCTAATTTTAATTTGATTAAAAAATCAAATTATAGATAATCACATAAACCAAGTCAAATAATCATAATTGGAATTGCTCATTTATCTCCTTTAAAACAGATTTTCAAACATTTATCCATAATTAAATTTAAATTCATAATTCAAAATTAATTAAAATAAAAACTCTTTTTTTTTTAAAAAAAAAAAAAAAAAAAACCTGAAAACAGGGGTTGCCGTGACCGAGCACACTTCCCAGCCACGTCACAGCCGCCGCAGCAGCCAGGCTAGAGCCTAGCCACCACAGCAGCTGGCCGCCACAGCCAGGTAGTCGCCCAGCCACAGCAGCGCTGGCTGGCGCACCAGGCAGCAGCCCAACACACCAACCAGCAGGTACAGTGGCTGGAACCGTGCAACAGTTGCACGTTTCAGCCACTTCCCCTCCCCTACTGCCCTCCGCCCCTGACGACCACAGGAGCAGCCACGGTGGACCACCAACGGGTGGTTCTGCCACCCAGCCGTGGCTGCTCCCACTCAGCTAACAATTTCATTTTTTTTTAGTTAAATTAATTCCACAACTCTTGCAAAATTAATTTTGTGATTTAATTAAATTAAACATAAACTCCGTTATGCATAATTTCAGAAAATTAATCTAAAATCTCCATTTTAAATAATATAGGCTTTTGATAAAATTTGATTTCTAACTCATATAAAACTCTTTTACATGAATTAATTAATCAAATAATATGAAATTAACACATTAATTTTCAAAATTAGAGTTCATAACACAACAAAATCAGAAAATTAATTAATGCATTTAGGCCAAAAAAAATTCGGCTATGGTTAATAAAATAAATTAAGCAATTAAATCTTAATTTAATCAATTCCAATCAATCAAAATCATATTTTAATTGGGTTATTCGATCTATAATTCAATTCCTCCCCTTAATCAAATTAAAATTAGCATAAAATACATCAAAATAATCATATTATTGTGACCAATAAATTATATGCAAGGGGCTAAATGATACCACTGTAGGGTTTTAAGTACTCAAAGCGGAATTTCATGAATCTCATTCATACGCACCTAAACAGGATCTCATGCATATACAAATAAAGGATCATATAATATTTTAGAATTAACCTTTGTTGCGTGAATTCCCAAGCTTTCTTCTACCTTCTTGCGGAGATTAGAGCCTCAATTGTTGCTCCTCTAATGTTGGTCCACAAGTGTAGATCGAACCTCCACCAATGCTATTTGGACGGGAGAGATTAATCTCCTCTTCTATGGAGAACTTCTAACCGGTTGTAGAGAGAGAGGAAGGGAAAAATATTATGTTGTTTCTATTATGAAAGATGAACGTCTGTTTATTTTTTTCCTAAGCCCTTTATTATATATAATCATATTATCTAATTAGGGATAGACTTATTCCTATCTTGCTCCTTATGGCCAGTCATTCACTAAGCCCAACTTTTGGACTCGGTATTCATGTTCGACCTAACACCGTAACGTGTGAACTCATAGGATCCATTTAGTTGGCATTGGTTTAACCCAATGATCAATATTGGTCTCTAGCAAGACGTAAAGACGACCCAACTAAACGAACTTATTATCTCCATAATACGATCCATATTACATTAGTAATTGCACGAGAGTCGAGGACACATTTCCTTCAGGTATATTTTGGGGCATCAATATGTTTTTTTTTTTAAATAAACATTAACTAGAAAGGTTTTTGATATTTAACTCACGTACTTTTTTGTATGGAACAAATTTTGTATGAATGATTCAATTTAATTGTGGTTGGATGTTTTAAATTATACATATGAAGTATATTTTGATGTTTTTCATCATATCTGGAAATATTTTTGTTGATTTTATTGTACAGAAAGTTATATTGCACGTACAAGATCATGGATTTATTTTACATAGGAAATGTGAAGATTTTCTTACACGATATAAATTTTTTTTTTTTTTTGGAAAGTAAGATTTTATTACCAAAGAGAGAAAGTTACAACTTAAAAACACGATATATAAATTTACAAGATATTAAACAAGAATACAGGTCTAAAATGAAATACAAAATAATTTAGATTAGTAAAATACAGGAATAATTCAGTATAAAATACGTAAAGGGGTAATTCGAATAATTATATACATATGGGCGAATTTTAATAAAATAAAAAAAAATAAAACATTAGAGAACTGTAATCTATCTTAATCGTTCTCTATTGTAATGCAATATAGAGCGGTTATGTGGCCCCTAAACCGTTTTTATTCCTTTTTTAGTGTACGAATTTATGAAGGGAAAAGAGTATGGTTGTGACTAATAACCGTTTTCTATTTGTTATTAAATAAAACACCTACATAACTTGTTCTCTATAATTTATACATTGCTTAGCAGAAGAACGCCCCTATGACGATCTATAAAGCCTATTATAACAGTTTCCTAAGGCTTTTTCTATCTTAATCGGGCCTCACTAGTTTCCAGTTTTATAAAACCTGCAGGAGAATATACATTCCATTCACTATTTGTGAATGACCCACGCATTTTACAACGATAAACAAGTAACAATGCACAAAACAAGCGTAAACTAGTAACTAATTTAGCTTGTTAATCAGATTAAGGCGCCTAATTAATACTAGTAAAAGATGTTTAACCGATTATGTAATTTAGCGCAAAAAAAAATTAAAGCCCACACTAAATCCGCATCCATCTTAATTAATCTAATTTATTAAGTCGACAAACCCAAAATTTTGCCAAAATAAAATTTTTACCAATGCCGCTAAAAATCGAGGCCTAGCCTCAAAAATTTAATTAAAATAATTAAAACCAAATATAATTAAATTAAATAGAATAATTAAAATAGAAAAATTAGCAAACACGTAGCCAACCGCACGCTAGTGGTTTGCACACCTAGACTAGCTAGGTGCGCACCATTGCAAGCCAAGGGTGCCTAGCAACCCCTTGGGCAATGTGTCTTGGTGCGTGTTCCACTACTACAAAATGGTCAAAGAGACCCGAAATAAGAGACATGTTAATCACATAACAAGTCTCTTTGTTTCAAGAGACCCAACATTACAAACAACCAATCTCTTTAGTTATGGAAAAATAAAAATTTAACAAAGACGCTTTATAAGAGATAACGGGTCTCTCTTAATATATTTTATTTTTAAATTAAAAGAGAGACCCGTGATTTTACGTAACCGGTCTCACCTATTAAAATTAAAAAATAAATAAAATAAAATTTTGTTTGGAGAGACTTGTGGTGATGCTAACCAGTTTCCTTAACTAAACCCTAAAATCTAACCACCACCCCCCCCCAAAAAAAATTCATTCTTCAATCCGCCTCCGTGATTGCATCTCTTCAATCTGCCTCCTCTCCCTTTCGATCTCTCTCCTCCTTTATTACACTCAAACTCCTTATTTCTTCTCTTAACCATTTAATTTCATTCAAATTTCTATTTCAATTCCTCCATTTCTTGTTTCAATACATCATTCCTTCATACTTTAAACATAAATTTTCGATGTTTATCATTTTCTTCAACGTTGGTACTATATAAATTCCTTGCGTCAACCATTGGAGCTTAAGAAGTAGCTTTAATGGAGTTCAAAGCTTCTTTGCTCGACATCTGATTTGTCATAGAGAATGAATGGACTGTCAAGGAAGATGATCTACCATCCGGCGGCTTCACAGACAACTTTTCTCTGATTTGAATGATATACCATTGTTAACCACTAAGAATAGGTTCTTTTTCAAATTTTTTTCGTTTCATTTTATTATGTTTTTGTACCCTTAATTTTAGTTAATTATTTATTTTAAATGTCGAAATTAAGTAAAATTTGTAAATTAATGGGTTAAAGGAAGGTTGAAAGAAGAGAAACAAAGAGGAAAAGGATAAGAGAATGTTTGATTCTCAACTTGCAATTGTTTTTTTCATATTCTGTGTAAGATTTCATGTTCATGTTCATATTATTTTTGTTTGAGGTTTTTTTTTATGTGGTTTTGTGGTGTTGTTTTTTTTATCTATTTTTGAAATTTTGTATTAAATTATGGATCAGCAATTTTACATTATTTTTTGTAAGATTCGTAAATCTGATTTATTTTGTGTTTATTATATGTTACGTTTGTGGATCGATTCAATTTTGTTATTTTTTAATGAGTTTTAGGTTGGTAGATCTTAAAATTTAGCAATCAAATAGTTTGTTGTAATTTAAATAATTCTTCTTTGGTCAATGTAAAATTTGTTAGAATTTTTTGAGCAATTTTTTAACTTGCTCCTTTACATTGTGTTACAAGTTGTGTTTATTGAGCTATTCATGTCCCATGTTAGCAGCAAGAACATTACAAAGCTTGTTGATGTTGTTCTAGGCCCTTCCTAGAACCCTTTCTAGAAGGTGGCTAGGATTGGATCTAGAACTGGTGTTTGGGGTTGGCCTGTTTTTCAGGTCTTGTGGTGTTCTGGTGGTAGTTATAACTTAGCTCTTGTAAGTTGTAACTTTCTCTCTTTGGTAATAAAACCTTATTTTCCAAAAAAAAAAAAAAAAAAAAAAAAAAAAGCTTGTTGATGCTGGTGGAGAGAAGATATACTTTGTTACTTCTGCTGCAACTGTTGGTTCTGTTGATGCGTTGAAAGAGGAGATAGTCGAAGGAATAGTGCAATTAGGATTTAGTTGAAATAATGGAGATTTTGTGAAATAAATTTAATCAAAGAATGTTCGTTGGAGATTTTGCAATGTTATTTTCCTTTAATTTTGAAGCTAATTTGCAATTATCCATCATTAGTCCATAAAATAAGTTATACCATATTATAATTTAAAAAATTATATATCAATTTATATAAGCTATATATAATTTTTTTAAATGAAACAAAGAGACCAGTTAAGTTAAATAGTGTTCTTAGTTTTATGAAAAAGAGATTGTCTTTCTTAAATAGGCTGTCTGAGTTTTCTGTTAAAAGAGACTGCCTATCTAAGATAAGTGGTCTTGATTTTCCAAGAAATGAGACTGCCTATCTTAGATAAGCGGTTTCAGTTTTTCCATTCTAGAGACCGCCTCTAAAAAAGCAGTCTCTTTGCCAAAGAGACTGCTTAGCTAGAGACCGCCTCTAAGGCAGTCTCTTTGGCCTTTTTGGACCTGTCTCTTTAGCCTTTTTTGTAGTAGTGTTCCAGCACCACCCCACGCTACAGTTTCTCAACCAAGCCTACCAGCATTTGTTGCGGGTTGTAAGGTGCAAAGCAGCACGCACAAGGCTTCTTGCCCCCTTCTTAAGGCACCAAAGCGCACACATTGCCTCGTAACAACCCAGCATCACACACGCACGCCCAGACAAGCCCACAACCCTATGATTGGTGTTATAAATGGCACCCATTTGATGAGCATTTAGGTTGTTTTCTTTCTCTTTTCATAGCTTTCATTCTCAATAAAGGCCTAGTTTTATGCATTTAGTCTTGGTTTTACCTTTCCTCTCTTATTTTGTAGCTTTTGTGCATTTTGTTGGTTTTTCTACTATTTTTTTCCTTTATTTGCTTTATTTTCATGATTGTTGGTATTGTACGAGCTCCGGGTTTTTATATTGGTTATTTACAAAGGTGGAAGATGCTTTTGGAGCAAGCTCATGGCAATTGAAAAGCTCAAGATGCAAGGAACTGGATTCTCCAAGTTCTAGTTGTTGCGCTCTCAAGCCATGCTCTCATAAAGATGGGGTGATGAACCCACTGTCGAGTGCTTTTTGGGACTACCACTCTTAGTCCCAAAGACCTTAGCGAACTCATGAGACCGCAAGAAGAGCCAAAGAAACCCAGAGAAGCGCGGGCACGCCACAAGCCAGTGTGGGCGCGCAACCTGCAAGTGCGGGCGCGCTCCCCTGGGTATTTGCTAACCGATTTTTAGAAAGGAGAATTCAAAATTTTAGATGATAATTTTAGCTTAGTTGAGAGCTTCTCTCTCTAGCTTTAGGGTTATTTTAGGAGTTGATTTAGAGAAGGAAAGTGAGGAATCTCAATGGTGATTGAGAGATTAAAGATTCAATGGTGACAATTGTGTTGAAGATTTCCTCTATTATTAATGAGCATTTCTAACTCTATCTCATTTTTTTTGCTTTGTTTAATATTATTGTAAGTTTGGATTGATTTTGATCTTTGATGCTTGATTAGTGTAGTTGTTCTTCATATATTGTTGATTCTTGATTTCTTTAGTTGTTAGTTGATTAGATGATTATGTTAGAGTAGTTGATTTCTAGGGATTGCGTAAAACTTGTATGATTGATTGATTGTGCTTAATTTGAAGATTGTGTGGTTAAATATTGAGAATAAATTGATTAATGGAAGTTTGCATGTGTGTATTCGATTGGCCTTGAGAATAACGCTAGATTGCATTGTGATCATAGGTTAGATAGGTCGTTAAGCTACTACCATAACCAAATTAATCATTTATAATACCTAAACCTACACTAAACTAGTTAATGGCAAGTAAATGGTCGAACCACTAGGGAAGCACGCTAATTCAACATCAATAATCACTAATGAAAGAGTAAAAAGGGGATTGTTTTTGTTGGTTTTGTTGAGTAATAAAATCACTAAAACTACAAATAAGCAAGAAATTGATGATTAAAAATAAGGGAAAATGACGCTAGGGATACGGGGGTGTCAAATATGATTAGAAAGAGGGGAATGATGATGATTATCATGAAACACATGCCAAAGAACACAAGATTCTACCTAAACAATTAATTCTCATGCAATAGTCTAGGCAAATCAATGAAAGAGGTCTACACTAATAAGGATCATTCTCATGCATCCTATTAGTCACAATAAAATCAAGAGAATAAAGAAGCACAATC